TGTGTGTGTGTGTGTGTGTGTGTGTGTGTGTGTGTGTGTGTGTGTGTTTATTAGAAATGTGGTACAAATGCTTTGCCCAGAAAAAAAAAGTAGTAAAGATTTTGTTTGGGGTGCAATGCCAATAGAAGATTTAAACAAGAACAAATATCTAGAATAAACTAATGACTAACTGAGAGCATTCAATATTCCAACGGTTCCTGGCATATGGAACCCAGTTCACTCCATGAATGATATCAAGAGATTCTTGGCTTTTGGTTGAGTAATGAGGCAAGTATGTAGCAATAGTCTACTGCCTGAGCAAGACTCCCCTAATCCATTTCAGTGCAACACGGAAAACGATAACACTCAGCAAAACTGAGACTACTACTTTAACCAGCTAATGTCTGTGCCAACAGAAAGTAACTTTAGTTGAGTGTGGGAGTCTGGTAAGAACAAAACTTCAAAGGCAGTGATAGGGAACTGAGATTTCTAGGATGGACTGAGCTACACAGTGAGACCCTACCTCAAAACAAAGGTCAAATATAAGGCAACGGTACTTAAAGAAATAAGAAAGCTCAGCTACTTCTACCTGAAGAAACCACTGCATTGACCAAGTGAACTAGAGCCCCATTTTGTGTCATTGGGATATCATACTGCTTTCATCTGGATGTGGATACCTAGCAGCCTGAAGGGACAGGGAGAACATTTTTTCCTTCAGTTCATCTCATCCTTAAGTTCATCATTCCTTAACCACCATTTCATAGTGTTAAAGTGTTGAGTGAGCCCTCCTATGGGTTGGAAAGTAGAACTGCAAAACCATCTTCCACCTAACTTTCTCTGAGTTCCTATCAATGAATGGGTCATTTGGGAAAGTTTTGAAGAATTGTTGATCCAAAGAACTACAACAACACCCAAAGAGAGAGAGGAACAACTTTCATTCCACCCATTCATCAAAGCAGGACACTCCAGTCAGGATGCGAGACACCGTGGATGCTCCCTCTCTCCTCAGCAAAAGCTTAGGCTAAACTGTTGGCAAATGTGTTAATATCCTCTTGCCAAGCATTTACAAAAGAGCCACTGAGTAGTAACAATGCAATTTACTTCTTCAGGTGGAAATAAATTTTAAGAGCCATTACAAGAGACTCCTTAATAATTGTCACCACTACTTAGGGAGCCTCTATAAGTGTCAAATGCTACATGTCCTATATTCATCAGCATACATCACTTTTGAATTTTACAGGAATGTCAAGATAATAAAATTTCTCAGTACTGGATGAATAGCCATCTAAGGCCCTGCAGCTAGCTAGCTAGCAAGCAGCATACTGAGGTAGAAGTCTCCTTCTGCCTCACTCTTAAGCCTAGTTCTCAGTTTTCTTCTGCTTTCAACATAATTCTAGGTGTAACTCCTATATCTTTCAGATACGGGCTACAGTTTACAGTCAGATGACAGAAGCAAGATCCAGGGGTCAAAATACAGTGATGAAACAAACTTGTGCAGCTGAGTCCACTGACTGACTTGGCTCTCTACATAACAATCACTACATCTTGAGACTTAGATAGTCCCTGGTAGTCATGGAGACAA